TCATCCATCTGGTCTATGCCTTCTAACTGGGAAACGGGTTAGGTTAGGTTTCAGAAGCTGATTAAATTGTGATAGGTGTTTAAGCGATGAGGTGTTTTAGAGACACGAAAAAAAGGATTGCAGCCCTTTGCTATTTTTCAGAGAAAAAACGAAACCAATTAAGAACAACGGACATGTCGCGGCCAAGATTTTTTCAAAGCATCTTTAACTACGAATTAATTTATGTAAAGCGGATTTTGAAACGAAAGGATTTGACAAAATGATTCCTTATGAAAATGATACGCTTTGCAGATGATGCCAATGTAAATTTACAGTTATCTGAAATTTGAATTTACAGAATGCGGTGCTAGAAAAAATTCTCTTTGTCGATCTCTATTGAAGAACGCATCAGATTGGAATATGAGATAAACTATTGAAAATACTTTTATTTTTAATAAAGATGAAGGTTTACGATGGCCTCAAAAATAATTTGGAGAAAAGAAGCCTAAGTAGCCTTATATTTCTCATCCGCATTTATAATGAAAAATGTAGCAGTTATTATTCGCTTTCTTTCTTGTCTCGATTCATTAAGCAACAAAAACATCGTTCATATTATCGAATAAAACATAAAAGAAAGATAAGATGCACGTAAGGCAAAGATCGAGTAGAAGTTAGTTTTCTATAGTTTACATACCATTCGATAGAGAATCGCGCGCTGATCGCGAATATGTTTTGCCGGCCTCTCGAAACCGTTTTCTCGCTGAGAAAATTGTAAAATACTATGAAGGGGTCAAAAACCCGGTTTTTCGCATAATTAGATTCGCCGGATGCTCCTCTTCAAAACAACGGCTCGCTTTTTTCAAAAATTTGTTTCATTCCTGAGAAAATACATTTTTTCTGAATCAGAAGCGAAAAAATCGGAATTCTGCCCGTAGATCTCTATTTTCTCCTTCAGAACTCATTTTTTATGCAATAAAAATATTAAATTCGGAGTTAGCATCGAAAATCGAATCGAATGATATATGTTTCGAGATTTTTCGTTGATTTTCATGATTTGTTGAAAATCTCAGTAATTCTTCGACGTGAAAATTCGAAAAAACAAAGGTGGTCGAAAAGAAAGGACGCGAAGATAGATATAATTTATTACCTTCGTCGATATATTTTTTTTCTGGTTGATCTAAATCTCCAACCATTCTTGAACAATTCGATTTCAATGCCTGAATAATATCTCCATCGTACGGAGCACTATGACGATTCATTTCACGAACAAACTGTTAATTAAAAAAAATAAATAAAAGAATGAGATTGTACGAAGAGCTTCTCTGTGTTCAAACCAACAGAATTTAAGAAGATTTTATTCTAGGTTACTGATCGAACGAAAGAATATATTTTCTGTTACTCACCAAGTTTGTCACTGATAAAGCTGGAGATAACTTGACAATTTCTTTGATTGGTCTCATATCACGGACAATACGTTGACGATGTGGATATGTTATATCCATTTTGGATTTAATTTGTCCGAAAGCATAATTTGTAGTATTCATTAAAACACGCATCGACTCCACTTGTTGTGATAGTTGCATGAAACTTTCGTCTGATTGTTGTTTTTTTCCGATCAGATATTCCTAGAAAGACACAAGAAAGTTTGTAGGGTGTTCCAAAAATGTGGAAAATGTTGTTGAGGAAACACTATGGTAGAGTGGTTTTTGTTAAGTATCCATAAAATAACTAAAATATTTACAATATTGCACATTATTACAATTATGTTGTGTGATTCTATCAATACGGTGCATTGTGATCAAAACTAGTCAATAAAGTAATATTGGTACTGATATTTGATGATATTATACGGGAACATTGTCAAACCGCAACGTTTGTTCAGTTGTTAATCCTCCATCTAATGGCGTTTAAACCAAGTCTCTATCACGCATCTGAGCCGGAGCGATTTGGTGAGATCTGAGAGATTTTAGAGATTCAAACCAGTTTTGTCCTCCTTGTGTAAGTGTCTCTCTGTCACTCACATAAATACCGACAGCTGTATGGTATCTTCCCTCTATCATCAGGCATTGTAACAGCATCTCCATTATCATTTACAATCATTGAGCATGGTGGAATTTGCGGCCTATTTCAAATATTCTATGACGTCAATGATACAATGATCTACAATGAATCGATATGTGCAAGAAGAATTAATCGTTGTTACAATGATTTGTGTAATACATATTCGACTAACAGACCTGAACACGAAGGTCGTCAATGTGATATAAATAACGTGAATCGCATCGATTCACTAAGTCCATTGCCTGTAAGTCGAATGAATGCACTGTCGGTATGATTATTCATTCTAGAACTGCTATGAATAACATGACTTTCAGTCTTGAAAATACTTTATTCGAGCTTTCGCCAGCTTTCAATTGGCATCATCAGGAATGTAATAGACATTCGAACTGGTATAAAAAGAAGCGAATAGATAAGAAGGATAGAACAGAAAAAGAAGAAAAAGAAAAAGAACTCAAGGAGAACTTGTAGTTGGCATAGCTGCACGTTTCTTTCTTTAAATTCATCAGTTCGTACATCAGTTCTCTACGAACTGATGAGTTTTTTCTGGTCGCGAAACTATCCCAATGGGGCTAGGCGAACACCTGCAATATGTGATCTGTGTCATTTATTGCTTTTCCTAACTTCTCCTGTGTTAGAATACTCTCTTTTATCGTTCTGCGTTTCCAATCTTGTTCCCAGGCTAATGTCTCAACCTTAGAGAAATCGAATTCATGATGATACTTCTGTACACGTTCAACTAACTTGGAGTTTGCTGTCATCCGTCTAATGTTCGATTTATGTTCTTGCATTCGTTTATCTCGTTTTCGATCTGTTTGATCGATGTAAACATGTTCACAATTAGAACATGGGATCAAGTAAACTAATTTCTTCTCTTTCTTGGACTCATCCTTCCCTTTCATTATAGGCAAGAAAATGTTCTTAAGTGTCCGATGTTTTAAACATCAGACACTTTGTTCGATGTCTATTACATTCCTGATGATGCCAACTGAAAGCTGGCGAAAGCTCGAATAAAGTATTTTCAAGACTGAAAGTCATGTTATTCATAGCAGTTCTATATTCGATTTACAAATACTTATTTCCAACTGCTCTACCAACAAATTTCATTATTCATTCTGTTGTAACTCGATCTTGCTACTACAGAATTGATGCATATTTTTTGCGACGAGAACGTCCATAGTTTGCACCTTAGTTTCCAGAAGCAGTTGCTTTAGCTTTTCACCGGTCAGAAAACGTACGTCTGTCACACTAACTGGTCACTATATGTATGTAACCAAACTTGGAAAATTCAAATTTAAAAAAAGGCGTGAAAAACTGGGTTTTTTTTTTTGAAAAAAGCCAGCCGTTGTTTTGAAGAGGAGCATCCGGCGAATCTAATTATGCGAAAAACCGGGTTTTTGACCCCTTCATAGTATTTTACAATTTTCTCAGCGAGAAAACGGTTTCGAGAGGCCGGCAAAACATATTCGTGATCAGCGCGCGATTCTCTATCGAATGGTATGTAAACTATAGAAAACTAACTTCTACTCGATCTTTGCCTTACGTGCATCTTATCTTTCTTTTATGTTTTATTCAATAATATGAACGATGTTTTTGTTGCTTAATGAATCGAGACAAGAAAGAAAGCGAATAATAACTGCTACATTTTTCATTATAAATGCGGATAAGAAATATACGTCTGTCACACTCACTGGTCACTATGCGTATCTACGTCGGTCACACTTACTGGTCAGCATGCGCACATACGTACGTCACACTACCGGTCACTAAGTGTCACTATCGCTGTCACACTCACTATTCACTATATGTATGTAAGTCTGTCACACTCACTGGTTAATATATGTCCGTACATCTGTCACTCTCTCTGGTCACTATATACGTGTACATCCGTCACACTCGGTGGTCACTATACGTATGTACGTCTGTCACACCCACTACTCACTATATATATCACCATAGGCCTAGGGTCAACGAAATAAAATCTGTATATTTACGAAATCGCGACGTTTCATTCTCGGCGTGATTTAAGTCATATCCCGAAATAAACTATTATTGTTTCACGTACCTTTAACACGAAGATGACACAACGAAATAATGATTTATTTCAATCAGTGCTCACTATATGTATGTACATTCGTCACACTCAGTGGTCACATCCTGCAGAAAAGTAAAATTCTCGTGGAGAAAGTAATATGGTCAGTCTGAATTCCTGCGCATGAAGCAGCATTCTCGTGGAAGACATTAAAATTCTCGCGGTTAATCTCAAAATTTATGCAGAAAAGTAAAATTCTCGCGCGAAGAGATTAAAATAAAAGAAGAGATTAAACTTCTCGCTGGAATTCTCAAAATTAATGTAGAAAACCAAAACTCTCGTCGAGAAAGTAATATGGTCAATGTGAATTCCTCTGCATAAACCAGAACTCGCGCGAAAGAGATTAAAATTCTCGCGGTAATTGTCAAAATACCTGTAGAAAAGTAATATTCTCGAAAAGAAAGTAATATCATCAGTCTGAATTCCTGCGCATGAAGCAGAATTCTCGTGGAAGACATTAAAATCCTCACGGTAATTGTCAAAACTCCTGTAGCAAAACTCTGGTGGAGAAAGTAATATGGTCAGTCTCAATTCCAGCGCATGAAATAGAGTTCCCGTGGAAGAGATTAAAATTCTCGCGGTTCATCTCAAAAGTCCTGTAGAAAATTAAAATTCTCGTGGAGAAACTAATATGATCGGTCTGAATTCCTGCGCATTAAGTCGAATTCTCGTGCAAGAGATAAAGCATTCTCGCAGTTAATCTCAAAATTTATGCAAAAAAGTGAAATTCTTGTGTAGAGAGACCAATATGGTCAGTCCGAATTCCAGTGCACCTACCAGCATGCTCGTGGAATACATAAAAATGCTCGCGGGAAACCTCAGAATTCCTGTATAAAAGTAAAATTCAGGTGGAGAAAGTAGTATGGTCAGGCTGAATTCCTGCGCATGAAAGAGAACTCTCGTGGATAGATTAAAATCCTCGTGGGAATTCTCGCAATTCCTGTAGAAAACTAAAACTCCCGTGGAGAAAGTAATATGGTCAGTCTGAATTCCTGCGTATGAAGCAGAATTCTCGTGTAGAAAATAATATGGTCAACGTGAATTCCTGCCCATGAAGTAGAATTCTCGTGGAAGAGATTAAAATTGTCGCACGAACTCTCGGAATTAATAGAGAAAACCAAAACTCTCGTAGAGAAAGTGATACAGTCAACCTCAATTCCTACGCATGAACATGAATTCTCGTTGAAGAGATTAAAATTATCGTGGTTAATCTTAAAATTCCTGTAGCAAACAAATACTATAGTGGATAAAGTAATATGGCCAGTCTGAATTCCTGGCCTAGGGGTTAAAATCCAAATTCTCGCTGGAAAAGAAATTAATGTAGTAAACCAAAACTCTCGTGGAGAGAGTAATATGGTCAATGTGAATTCCTGCGCATAAACCAGAATTCGCGCGAAAGAGATTAAAATTCTCGCGGTAATTGTCAAAATTCCTGTAGAAAATTAAAATGGAGTTTGTAATATGGTCAGTCTGAATTCCTACGTTTGAAGCAGAATTCTCGTGGCAGAGATTAAAATCCTCACGGTAGTTGCCCAAATTCGTGTAGAAAAGTAAAATTCTGGTGGAAAAAGCAATATGGTCAGGCTGAGATTAAAATTCTTCCAGTAATTTTCAAAAGTCCTGCGGAGAAATAAAATGCTCGCCGAGAAGTGGCCAGTCTGAGTTCCTGCACATGGAATAGCATTCTGGTGGAAGAGATTAAAATTCTCCAGGTAATTGTCTAAATTCCTATAGAAAATTAAAATTTTCGTAAAGAAGGTAAGTTAATACGGTCAATTAAAATTCTCGTGGAGATAGTAATATGGTCAGTCTGAATTCCTGCGCATGAAGTAGAATTCTGGTGCAAGAGATTAGAATTCCTGCAGAAAACTAAAACTCTGGAGAAAGTGATATGGTGAGTCTGAATTCCTGCGTTTGAAGAAGAATTCTCGTGGCACAGATTAAGATCCTCACGGTAACTGTTCGAATTCGTGTAGAAAAGTGAGATTCATTTGGAGAAAGCAATATCGTCAGGCTGAATTCCTGTGCATGAAAGAGAACTCTCGCAGATACATTAAAATCCTCGCGGAATTCTCACAATTCCTGTAGAAAACCTAAACTCAGAGAAAAAAAACAGAGTAAGTAATATGGTGAGTCTGAATTTCTGGGTATAGAAGAGAATTCTCGTGGCAGAGATTAAAATCCTCTCGGTACTTGTTAAAATTCCTGGAGAAAAGTAAAATTCGCATACGGAGAGTAATATGATCAGTCTGCTGATACGGATACTACATTAGGGATTTTTTCCTAACTTGCATCTAATGGTCATATTGGTTATCCAACCACATGGACAAACCTCTTTATCCGCATAGCATTCTCCTCAGATGAGTTCTTCAAACAGTTTTTGCTTGAAGTTTTCAATTCATCCGGAATAAATTTTTAAAAATCTGTTGTATA